TGAAAGCCCTGAATTCATGACTATGTGATACATCCATGCTGGAAAAACTGCAATTGTACCCTCTAAAACTATTAAGAAAATTTTAAAACGTAAAAGCGACCAACATAAACCAGTAGTAGCATGAGAAGTTGGGGAAGATGAAGTGGGAAGAGAGAGAAAGATTTGAGGAAGAGAAAGCCATCATAATACTCAGTCATCAAATGTGCTTTCTGGATAAAGCCCTGCTTTGATTTCAGTTGATTCATTTGTGACAGAACTGACATCACGCCCTTGGCTTGCAGTTCAAGACGACGCTACCAAAAATGCTCCTACCCAAACCCCTCTCAATTACTGTGTGAACATTGCTGAAGTCATACTTTGCTAAATCCCTTAATGCCCCTTTTATGAGAATCCACAGAATAAATTTCCCTAACACCTCAATACCCAGAAAAATTACTCTTATCTCATGCAACAGCTGTTTCTTTTTTTTTTTTTTTCAATCTACATGCAACATGTCTATGAAATATCTTGTTTCCTTCTTAGCTTTGGCTGCTAGGAAGCTCAATGTTAGATTTCTCAGTCCAACATTAATAGCTGTATTTGCCCATTCTTTATCTATCCTGTGCCAGGGATTGGGATTATTTGACGAACAGAGATGAAAACAGGGATTACTGATCCCTGTTTTAGGGTTTTGGTCTAGCTGGGACACAGACACAGGAGATTATAAGGAAACCGTCAATTAATCCCATGAAGGGAAACAACAAAGTTAGTGGTAGCACAGAGTAGGGCCCTAACCCTCCCTTAGAGTGTCCAACAGGGCTTCCTAGGGGAAGTGCCACCTGAAATGAGCGACAAGGGATGAAAAGGTATTAACCAGGTGAAGAGGATGAAGAGTGTGTTCCAGGCAGAGTGAACATGCGAAGGCTATGAAATGAGAGGGCATCCGAGGCCAAAGGTAGATTTCCATTTTCTACCTCTTCCCCCTGCTTCATATGCTCAGCAACCCTTATGTCCCTTTGCTCAGGCTTTCCTCACTTTTAAATTTAATCTTCATTTTTCAAGGCCCCATACATCGTGTTGTAACCGTGATACAGGCAAAGAGTTAAAGAGGCTGAGCAGAATCTTCTGCAGGGGTTGGCAGTCATTGGCTTGGTTTGGGTTGCGGGAGCCTGAGCTCTGCCCGTCCTTCTCCAAATGTCCCCTAAACCGCAGCTCTGGATGCTGAAGATGTTCGTCCCTGCACATCTCCCCCAGCAACCAATGCATGGCAAATCTGGCCCGACAGTTCGTGATTAATGACTGCGTCAAATGTCAGCTCAGTGGGAAGGAATTTCTACAGGGAAGTCCCTGATATTCCCAAGCAGCCCACAGCTCTCCATGTTTTCACGTCTGCTGTCCTACTCATCGCTGCTGCTAGCAAGAGAAGTCAGGCAGCTCACTCTCGCAAGACATGAATGAGACGTCAGGCACATGTGTGTCATTTCTTCTCCTCCTTACAGCCTTTCGCATAAGAGGAGCAGAGGCTCAGGGTGCACCTCAGCCCAGCCTCTCCTAACTCTCTGTGTACAAGGAGCAAGGCTTCTTTCTCCTCCCCAGCCAACTCCATGGTTGACACTTTAATGTGAAGAGAGTGGACATAATCTTATAGGGAAGATGAGAAGAAGCAGAAAAGAGATAGACCCCTCCCAAACTTCATTCCACATCCCCATGTAAGCCATCCCAGGCTCACCTTGGGTTATCAACGTGAGAAGAAGGGTATGTTCCATTGGCTTAATCATAAATCCATTTACAGTTGCCACTGTCCATCAACCAAGCCAAACAATTTTATAAGCAAGTAATAACACCACCAGGTGCTCTCGGTTGTAGAAAGTTTTAATTTTGTCCTGGACTGACAAATACTGTCTCACGTTGACCCAGGACCTTGGCTCCTGTCATATCTACTCTTTGTTTCGTTTCGTTTTGGAGTCTTGCTCTGTCACCCAGGCTGGAGTGCCGTGGTACGATCTGGGCTCACTGCAATCTCTGCCTCCCAAGTTCAAGCAATTCTCCTGCCTCAGCTTCCCAAGTAGGCAGGACTACCGGCACACACCGCCATGCCCAACTAATTTCTTTTCTGTATTTTAATAGAGATGGGGTTTCACCAGGTTTTCCGGGCTGGTACCAAACTCCTGAGCTCAGGCAATCTGCTAGGATTACAGGCGTGAGCTGCCAGGCCCGGCCCATATGTACTCTTTCTCCCAGATCCGCACGTAGATGGCTACAGCAAATCATTCAGATCTGGAATCAAACATCCCCCTTCCATGGAATTTTTCCTTGACCATTTAGCCAAACAGAGCCCATGCTCAACGTCCATCACTTCATCACCCCTGCCTTCTGCTTCATGTCCGTAGCACTTCATGATCTGTGACAAGCTTGCCTGTGATCCGTCTCCCTCTATCGGCCTGGAGACCTGTGTAAGGACAGGGACTTTACATCCTTCCTAGCTCTATCACAGCATCAAGTCAAACGCCTAACACGTGGGAGATGCTCGTATGTATTCATTGAGTGGGTGAAAAAATGAGTTCCATTTGGTCTTTAACAGAACCCTGGGAGGTACCCAGAACTTTGTGGACACACAGAGCTGGGACTAGGATAAAGCATGTAAAACACTCACCTAGGGTGCAACATTTAAGGAGGTACCAGAAAAAAAACTCTCAGAAATCAAGATAAATAAGATTTTAATGCAATATTTTAAAATCTCCATTAGTCAAAAAACCCATAGTGAAGAAAATATCAAAATTTTAAATAAAGATTGGTTCACACTGTATAGAATGTTTACTCACCTCACCCTAATCTTGGCCTACAAATTTTTCATTTACTTAAAATTTTGATATTTTCTTCATCAAGGATTTTTTTTTGCATTACTTTACAACTGTAAAACATTATTTATTTTGCTCAGTTTTGCGATGACGCTTTAACTCTTGTTCCCTAGACAAGTGCCTCCCCTTCCCCAGTCCTGAGAGTCTGCGAGGAGCAGCAGGTTTCCCTCAAGAAGCTCCTCTTTGGCCTAGCTGTGGTTTGCTGACCACGTGCAACATAACAGCATATAACAGGATTTGGCTCTGTGTCTCTGCCCATACCTCATATCAAATTGTAATCCCCAGTGTTAGAGGAAGGGCCTGGTGGGAGACGCCTGGATCATGGGGACAGGTTTCCCCTGGCTGCTCTAGGGATAGTGAGTGTGTTCTCACAAGATCTGGTTGTTTAAAAGTGTAAAGCACCTCCCCTTTCTCACTCTTCCTTCTGCTCCAGCCATGTAGGACATGCCTGCTTCCCCTTAACATTCCGCCATGATTGTAAGTTTCCTGAGGCCTCCCCAGCCACGCTTCCTGTATGGCCTGTGGAAGCCTGAACCAATAAAACTTCTTTTCATTATAAATTACCCAGGTCAGGTATCTCTTTAGAGCAGGGCAAAAATGGACTAATACAGCATATGACTTTGTCTAGGAGTCTATCTGTCATTTGCAGTGACCTTCTTAGAGCAGGAACTGTCTGGTTCATGTTGTCACTCCCAGCCCATGAACTCAACACCCAACTAAAGGGAGAAAAACATGGGACATGCAGTCACACATTCAACCAACATAACCTCTTCCAGTCACATGACCACATCCCAGGCAACCCCTACTCTGAATTGGTCTCATTATTCCCATAAACATGATAATATCGTAAGTATATAGCCATATGGCCCTAATTGATCGAGTATTCTTCTGTAACTGGTTCATTTCCCTTTGGCACTACGTTTGTGAGGGCAATCCATGTGGATACACATTTCTAGTTTAAGGATCAGGAAATTTTTTCTGTAAAGATCCGGGGAGTAGTTTCAGGTTGCAACTACTCAGCCCCGCCACTGCAGAGTAAAAGCAGTCATAGGCTACACAAGGAATGAGCGTGGCTCTGTTCCAATAAAACTTTACAAACAGCGGGTGGTGCACCGAATTTGGCCAGTGAGCCACAGTTTTGCCTGTCTTTTCATTCATTTTCACTCTTGGGACCTCCAGTTTTTAATATCAGAAAACATATTCACCTATTCTATTAATAAGCTCCCATTTGAGTGTTTACTTTCCTGTGTTTACATTCCTGCAACATGGCAAATGCTGTTGCTATGAACTTCTTATATTTTCATATATTCATGGATAAAATTCTCTAATATAAATACCTAGAGGTGGAACGGCCAGCCACAGGGCATGGACAGGTTCAACTTTCATAGATAATGCCAAATTGCTTAAGAGTGATGAGATCCATTTAAGATCCCACCAGCAGTAAATAAGAATTCTCACTGCTGCGCATCCTTGCCAACACTTGGCTACATCACACTCTTCGGTTTTTCCAATCTGATGTGTGAAACAGTACCTATCAAGGTGTTAATTTGCACTTCCTAATTGCTAATTAGGTTGCGTGTCTTTTCATGAGTTTATTGGCCATTTGAATTCCTGAACACTTGAACTCTTGAAACCAGATCCCCTTCCTTGGGAACTGCCCATTCGTATTACTGGCCCATATTTTTTTTTCCATTCTTATTGGAATGTTTGCCTTCTTTCAATTGATTTAAGGAAGCTCTTTATGTATTCTGGATACTCTTTTCCAGTTTGCAAATTTCTGCTCTAAGTAAGTAATGTATCTTCATTTTATGCTCTGATAAACAAAAGTTCATTACTTTAATATAGTCAAATTTATCATTTTTTCCTATGATTTGTGCTTTTGTCAATTATTTAAGAAATCCTTCCCTTTGGAACCAGGTGATATATGTTTGAATCTTAGTTACACTTCCTGGTTGTGCAACCTCCAGGAAGATACTTAATATCCCAGGGCCTCAATTTCCTCCACTGTAAAATGGGTTCAATAACAGCATATGCCTCACAGGCAATTCTGGGGTGCTTGTAAAGCAATTAGCACACTTTCAGGCATATCATTGTTCTCCCCTTAAACAGATCTCACATACACGAAGACCCCCCACAAGGACCCAAAGGGAAGGAGGGGGATACCTTGCTTTCTAGCAGATCTGTGTTCTGCCGGAGTTCATTCCGCAACTTCTCTGATTTTTCTAGCTTCCGTCTCAGCGTTGTAAGCTCCTCCTACAAAAACAAACACCTTAATGAAACCATTCCAGACCAGAGATTAAGTTCCACCTGTGTTACAAGTGAGCAAAGGGCACTGAGTTTCAGTTAGAAGGAATAAACCTTAGTGATCAATTGCACAGAATAGTGACTCTAATAAATAGGAATGCACTGCATATTTCAAAATTGCTTTTTAAAAGTAGATTTTGGCCCGGTGTGGTGGCTCACACCTGTAATCCCAGCATTTCGGGAGGCCGAGGCGGGCAGATTATAAGATCAGGAGATTGAGACCATCCTGGCTAACATGGTCTCTACAGAAAATACAAAAAATTAGCTGGGTGTGGTGGGACACACCTGTAGTCCCAGCTACTCAGGAGGATGAGGCAGGAGAGTCACTTGAACCCAGGACGCGGAGGTTGCAGTGAGCTGAGATCTCACCACTGCACTCCAGCCTAGGCGACAGAGTGAGACTCTGTCTCCAAAATTAAAAAAAAAAGTGGGTTTTCAGTGTTTTCACCACACACACACACACACACACACAAATGATAAATGAAGTGATGGATTTGTTCATCAGCCTTGCTTAATCATTTCGTATTATAAACATACATCAAAACATCACACTGTACCCCATAAATATGTACAATTACTCTTTGTAAATTAAAGATGAGAGGTTTTCTTAAAAAAAGAGTGTTTGGGGAATGGAGTAAGTAATTCAGCCAGCATCCGTGAAGATACCCATGTGTTGGGTTCCAGCAAGTGACTTTTTGTTTCACCACTTCTAAATGTCAATGTCTCTGTTCATGCAAGTCTGGTCCCGCCCAGCCCAGCCTAGGGGCTGTATGCAAATCATCAGAATGAGACCATTGCTTTGCCTGAGACTGAGCATGCCCAGTGTGGACTGTGCTCAGCACTTCATCCTCCAAGGATTGCCTTTCTGCCTGTGGCTCAGCACCATTCAGAAGCTGCTTCACTGCCCACCCACAGCAGGCTGGTGGGATGAACTACGGAACACGCAGAGGAGTGCTATGCAGCCGTGAAAAGAGAACAAGCAAGAACTCCACAAAAATAGAAACGCCAAGATTTTCAGAATGCATTTTCAGTGAAAAATACAAGCTGAAGAAGAGCATATATAAGATTATACTTTTTTATGTAAGAAAGATAAGAAATAAATGTGTGTGTCTTTACCAATTTTTGCAAAATAATAACAAAAAGCATAAACCAGAAACCAATCAAAACAGTTATAACAGATAGGTGACAACAGGGAAGAATGATAGAAAGAGTGTTCTCTGAGAAATAAAAAAAATAAAGGACTCCCCTCTCTGTGTCCACATGTTCTCATTGTTCAAATGCCAGATATTGGTGACGCGGGGGTGGGATGGAGGCAGAAAACCACCTTCCCATATGTGTACCTATGCAACAATCCTGCATGTCTACACATGTACCCCAGAACCTAAAGTACAATAAAAAAATAAAGGACTCAAAGACTCTGCCCATTGAGCGTCTCTGGGTTAAGCAGCAAGTGTTCATAAACCCCCAGGGTGGTCACAGCATCTCTAACCACCCACAGCCTGGAGAGGAGCTGGGCGTGGGAAGGAGAATTATCTGTGTTGATGAAGGCAGAGGAACATTTGGGAGGGGCCTAAAGGCTGTTGGGCTGAGCACTCTTAGATCAAGGATGTTCTGGAACAGGGCCACAGGGTCATCAGTGCAAGCAAGAGGATGGGGGCATGGGGAGTAGCCACCCAGAACTCTGCCTGCCGTATAGACTCACCTCCTTGGCTCGGAGCTGCTCATTTCCGATGGTGGCACTAAGTAGGGGCCGGAGAGATCCAAGGAGCTGCCACCATGGCCAGTCCTTGACTGCGAGGAACACGGCCACATTCTTCTGAATGCACTGCGCAGCCAGTCGGTGAATCTGCAGGGGAGGAGAGCAAAGGCTGGAGGGTCCTTCCCAACCCAGGTGAGAACAGAGGAAGGAGAGGAAGCAGAGGGGAGCAAAGTGGCTGGAGGAAGTGGGTTTATTTCCTGGTGGAAGGGACTGGATACCTTAAAATACACACACACACACACAGAGAGAGAGAGAGAGAGAGAGAGAGGCTTCCTTTCTTGTAGCCCTTTTGATACGTCAGGCTCCCTGCATCAAACATTATGCCATAATTTAGTCTTGAATGGCCAAATAATAATGGTAATAGGAAAAAGAGTAGAAGAAACTACACAATAGGTCACATCTTCTACGGGGATTAGGTTTAAAGGTCAACATGCAAGGCAAAAACTCTCGCTGAAAAACCTCTAAAATTGCCCACAAATAACAACGTCCAAGATTATGTTATTAGCTTACATTGAAGGGAGAGAATTTTCAGTGTATTTAAACAGTAATTCCGTGCTTCTCAAACTGGAATGTGCGTGAATGTTAACCTTGAATATTAAACCCCAGATGGCTAGACTTCACCCACAAAGGTGCTGGTTCAGCCAGTCCAGGATGGAGCCTGGAAATGTACATTTCTAACAAATCCCCAGGTGATGCTGATGCTGCTGGTCTGGGACCGCACTTTGAGAAGCAGTGACCCACTTCATTCTTATCACTGGGGGAAACCAGAACAGCACTGACTGGCAGACAGGCCAAGAGATGCTTTTCCCTCATCACCATCGCAGTGGCTGATTCTTGTGCGGCAGACATTGAGCTTCCTAAGTGCCAGGCATTGCCCTGAGTATCTCACATACCTCAGCTCGGTCCTTACTATAGTCCTAGAAAGATGGCATTATTTTTTGTATTTACAGATGGGGAAAGTGAAGTTCAGAGAGGTAAAGACACATGCCCAGTGTCACCCAGCTTCTCAGTGCTAGAGCAGGTTTGAACCCTTGCAGTCTGGCTGCAGAGCCCAGACTCTGAAACTCTAATCTATATCATTCCACGGTATGAGCTACTTTAGTGCAGAAGGCCGGGGGGGTTGCCCACAATATTTTCATTATCACGGTCTCATCTTTTTTCTTTTTGTCAAGTACATATACTTCAGTTTATAAGTTCACATAAACTGGAGGCACACATAAGACTCCATTCCAGTAGTAGTAATTAAGAATACAATTCTAAGGTAATAGCGGCTAGAGTTTATTGAGCAATTACTATGTGCCATGTACTGTATTAAGTGCACATCATTTTATCTCACCTTCACCCAGGTACTAAGAGGTAGAGGTGGAATTCGAACATGTATTTGTTCCCAGAGCCACGTGGTTTGCTCTCTATTGTGCAGCTACAGAGTGGAAATTGGGTCTCCAGAGATCTCTGAAGGTAGTGACCCTAGATGGGTCAGTGCTTCCAGCTCAACTTGGCCTTTGGTCCCCAAAACCTCAGTGGTTGGGCCCTGGTCATGCCCTGTCTGCTGACCTGTGAAAGTGAATTCCTCCAGAAACAAGACAGATTGAAATCATGAATCGGCCCAGGAGGGCCTGGACAACCGCATGGCTACCTACTGCAAGGTTGACCTCATGGATAATTTCATGTCAATATCCCAGAAACAGAACATCTTGCAAAGCCTCACTTAAAGTCTCACTATTCAAATCAGGTCCTTGGACCAGCTGCGCCAGCATCACCCTGAGGGACAGACAGACCCTAGACCCAACCCAGACCCACTGGATCAGACCCTGCCTCTGAACAGCATGCATACCTTCAGCTTCTTGAATTCCTGGCGAGACAGAAAGCCCTTGCAAGCCGCCTGGAAGAGCACGATGCTCCGAGAGACCAGCTTCTCTCGCTGCTTCTCAAGCCTGGAGATCACACCTGCCTTGAGAAAAACCTGGGGAGAGGGAAGGTCTCAGGTGAGTCCTCTGCTGAAGAAGGCTGTCGGTGCTTACAACTCAGACCCCACTTCTCTTGCATCCACCTGCAATATTTGTTGGTAGCTGCCCTTTAAGTGGGCGGTGGATGGGGGGTCTGAATCATCAAAGCATTTTGTCTGCTGATGGCTCCTCTCTCCCTTCCTCTAGGCCCTGGATACTCAGTGTGGTCCACCCACCAGCAGCACGGGTACCACCTGGGTGCTTGCTGGAAATGCAAAATCTGGAACGTAGTCCACGTTCCAGACCTGCTGAATCAGAACCTGCGCTTTCACACGATCCCCAGGGGATTCCTGTGCACGTTCCTTTGAGAACCACTGCTAGGACGGACTTGCCTGAACTGTTCTGGGCATGATCATCACCTGGAAAGTGTAGTACATGAAGATTCCCAGGCCCCAGGAAAGGTTGGATTGTGGGTTTAGGGCCAGACCTGGGAATGTGAATATTTTGATAAGCCCTGCCAGCAATTTGAACAAAGCAGTGGCTTAGAAACATCTCAGTCCAGCCTTGTAAGGAGGGGCAGAGACAGTGAGGGAAGGGATGGCAGCCCTCTAGGTCCGGAGAGGATAGGGCTGGGCTGGTGCCACCCGCAGAGGTGCCGAGGTATCTAGCAGAAAACAGCTCTCGGTACATGATTTCCAGGCCGCAACTCATCAATAATGGATGATGGTCTCTGCAGCACTCTGATCAATGCCTCCCCGGCACCCCACAGAGCCACCTTCTAATAGACTGCAGGGAACAGGAATGAGGAAGCGGGGACCCCAGGATTGACTGTCAGCGAAAGATTAAGGCAGAGAGTCCTGGAGGTTTGAGTTAAATGCTTTTCTGCAAGAACCTGACGGTTCTGGGCCAGGCCTGCTCCTGCCGATGCAGAAGGGTAGCTCTGGTTTGCTGTGTCTGTTTTCTCACCTTCCCAGAGGCAAAGAAAAAATGCTCTTATGGTGGGATTGGAGTCAGTGGCAGGGGAAGGAGTCACTTTTCTGACGCCCTTACACTGCTTATTTCTAAAACGAGTCTCATGTGTTTGTCACATGTGGCTTATAATCCCAAAGGGGGTTATCTGGAGACATATTTTTTTTTTGAGACAGAGTCTTACTCTGTCACCCAGTCCGGAGTACAATGGCACAATCTCAGCTCACTGCAACCTCCACCTCCCAGATTCAAGTGATTCTCCTGCCTCAGCCTCCTAAATAGCTGGGACTACAGGTGTGTGCCACCATACCTGGTTAATTTTTATTTTTAGTAGAAATGGGTTTCACCATGTTGGCCAGGCTAGTCTCGAACTCCTGACCTCAGATGAACCGCCAGCCTCGGCCTCCCAAAGTGCTAAGATTACAGGCATGAGCCACTCTGCCCGATAACTCTATATTAATAACTATATGGATAACTCTGTATTAACTGATGACATTATCAATTAATACAGACCAACATTTGACATGACATTTGACATGCAGCGAAAGTGCTTTACATACCTACTCCTATATGGTAGTCATTATGATTCTCTTATTTTATGGCGGAAGCAACTGAGGCTTAAAAAAGAAAAAGGCATTTGCCCACGATCCTCTACTAGCAAGTGGCAACGCCAGGATTTATTTCCCTCTATCTGACTTCAGAGAAGACTACAATTATCACTGAATAGAATTAACATTTGGACAACATCTACATTTCCCAAAGGGCTTCTCCTAGGTATCTTTTTAATACTCAGAACGGCCCTATGAGGAATCTATTGGTTCAGGTAGGTTATGAAAGTGACTCAAATTTACATAATCAGTTGCCAGCAAAGCTGAGACCTCAGCCCAGAACCTCAGGCTTATTTCCTGCACCCATGCTCAATGACTGTCAACACAAGCCTTCCTTTTCTCGTTCATTAGGATACAAGCACTTGAAGTATGAGGCTCAATTGCAATTGGATTCCAGGTGGAACAAAGAGTCCCGATCAATTCTCCATTACCCTAAACCTATTTTTCGTAATGGAGGCCACTCATCTCCGACCATCCTACAGTACACCTTTTCTCCATGGAAAAATAAAAATTAGGACACCCAGTCGGTACTAACTCTTCTCCTGACCCTCCTTGGCTCTGCAGAACACTTCCTATCAGACAGGGCCACCAAGACCATTAGTCTCATTGAAATAAAGACACGACTGGCTCATTACCTATCAGATTGTCTCAATCATGACTGTATTAATTTCACAAGCTAGTGAGTCCCAAAAGCTGCTATATAAAAAAAAAAATCAATGATCAAAGTGATGACAGCACCAGTTCGTATATTACAATGGATGTCAGTGCTGTCAACACCACTATTGATTATGAAGCTCTCATTAAAAAGATAATTGGAAACAACCATACATGGCATGGCAATAAGCCTGTGCAGAATCTTATCTCGATTTCTCTCTCTCTCTCTCTTTTTTTGGGCTTTTAAGAGCACATTGCCGACCAGAAGGCTGACTGCATGTGGAATCACACCTTTTCCACAAATGTCGTGGCCCACAGCACAAGCCTCAATAAGGCACCAGAGGCTGAAAAATCACGAAGAAAAATCTAAATTATTTGCTTTTCATGGGTCCAGCAGCTTGTCGGACGCAAACAGAGTGTAACATCCCCAGAGCTCCACCTTTAAGGAATCCACGGGGGCCTCGACAATGCGAACTGTTTCTCCTCTAAAAGTGCTAAAATCTGATAGAGCAACAGCTCCCATATCTGGTACTGCCGAGGAATTAGCTCCTCTCCTCTTAGTCACTTTAAAGATTAGAGGAGTTTAATTCCTTAAACATTAAAATGTTATCCTGTTTGATATAAGCCTCTTGCCCCACTGACAAATGTACTCAGCAAGTAGTGACAGCCACCGCCTGTTAAATGACACTTTATGGATCCCACAGCCATCTTGGGAGGTAGAAAGTAATGGCTCCATTTTACAGATGAGATAACGGAGGCTCAGAGAAGTTAAACCAGTCACTGAAGATTCACACAGTTAGGAAGTGGTGGAGCCTGGGTGTGGACTGGGTCAGCCAATTCTCTTTTCCTCTGAGCTTCACAGCCTTCTCAGCTATTACGTGCCAATCCTGCAATGCATAAGATGGTACACCTGCCCTTCAAGGTCTCAGTCTATCCCCTGGCCTGGCCTCCAAAGGACACATTGACCTTGATTTGCTCTTGACAGTTTCTTAGTGAATACCAAGTATTAATAATAACCGTGTTTTGTCATTGTGTGTAAGGACTGCTTTCTTTCTTCTTCCGTGAGAGCTGCAAGGACCATAGGCACTGATTTTCATATTTATGACGTAACTGAGTCATTACTTAGATCAGTGGTTCTCAGACTTGAGAGTGCATTGGAATCACCTAGAGGACTTGTTGTACAGGTTGCCAGCCCTGCCCCCCGCTGAGTTTCTGATTTACGAGGTCTGGGGTGGAGCCTGAGCATGTACTTCTAGCCAGCTCTCAGTGATGCTGATGCTGCTGGTCCAGGACCCATACTTTGAGAACTGCTGGTCTAGAAGGATGAAGTTCTTGGTGCTGAAGAACAGTTCCCCAGATTCAGGACCATAAAGACCTATGTGTAAAGAATATGTGACGTACAGTCACGCACCACACAATGACGTTTCAGTCAATAATAGATGCATGTACAGCAGTGATCCCATAACATTATAATACCATGTTTCTACTCTACTTTTTCTATGTTTAAATACTCAGATCCTTACCACTGTGTTACAACTGCGTACAGTATTCAGTGCAGTCATGTGTTGTACAGGTTTGTCGCCTAGGAGCCATAGGCTGCGCCATCTAACCCAGGTATGGGGTAGGCTATTCCATCTGTGTTTGTGTGAGTACACTCTGTGATGTTCCCACAATGAAGAAATTGCCTAACGACTCATTTCTCAGAATGTATCGCCATTGTTAAGCCACACATGACTGTATTTCCATTCATTCCAGAGTGTATTGAAAACACCCTGGAATGTTTCCATTCATTCCAGAGTGTATTGAAAACACCCTGGAATGGATTTGGACCAATGCGGATTTGCATGGAGTCTGAATCCTTAGCTACAGACAGGATCTTGAAAAGAGGCTTATTTCCCAGAGGCACAGCCTCCTCATCTGTAAAGCAGAAACACACTTGACATCTCACAGAAGACTGTGAATGAAGAACAGAAAACAGAACGTGAAGTTGCCTGGCATAGTACCTGGCTTGCATAGGAGTTCAGTAACTGACAGGTTTATTCTCACTATCGAAAAAGCGTGCAAAGACTGAGATGCTGCAACTCCCATCAGGAGAAATTATCTTGAGATCACAACAGAATAATAGCTTCCACCATATACCTTATCAAGACCAAGGGGCCAGTGGGGAGACACTAGCCTGCTTAGGGTGAGCTGAGGGGTGATAGCCAGTGCAGATGACTGTGAGCTCCCTGAGGAAAGGACCACCACTCTCAGCGATGCATGATATGATAGGGAAGGCTCTGTGAGTACAAACAGCCAGTAATGCCACTCTGGTGGGCTCCTGGAGAGCAGGATACCCTCCCACCACCTCACATAGCTCTCTGGAGGTGGAAGGCAATTGACAAAGGTTTATTGGATAGCATTAATCAACCAGTAAGTAACTAGGTGGCAAAATGTGTGACATGGTATTTCTTTTGGTCTGTTCCTCTCTGGTTTGTTTTTCTTTCCTTCACTACATTTTTTTCCTTTTTTTTTTTCTTTTTTTTCTTTTGGTGGCAGAGTCTCGCTCTATTGCCCAGGCTGGATGGAGAGCAATGGTGAGATATTGGCTCACTGCAACCTTCACCTCCCGGGTTCAAGCAATTCTCCTTCCTCAACCTCTCAAGTAGCTGGGATTATGGGCACATGCCACTGTGCTCCATTAATTTTTGTATTTTTAATAGAGACAGGGGTTTCACCATGTTGGCCAGGCTGGTCTTGAACTCCTGACCTCAGGTGATTTACCCACCTCAGCTTCCCCAAATGCTGGAATTACAGGCATGGACTACCATGCCCGGCCTCCAGTTTGTATTTATAAAGTGTGTCCCTTTCCCCTGCCCCCCGCTCCTTGGTCCTTGGGTTTACAATCTCTTTGCCCCACTTCCCAAACTGTAATCCATGGAACACTAGTTCCAGAAGTAGGTAATGGGTATTCCACACAAACAAAAGGCTGGGGGTTCCACAGTCAAATAGTTTGAGAATCCCTAAATACCATGTTTCCCTCCTTGAAAACTTACAGCATAGATAAGCATATCAGGGAAGTGTGAAATTCTGCTCTAAACATTTAAGCATATTTGGAAGAGCTTTTGGCTGAACACCAGTTTGGGAAAAGCTATTTCTGCCAACTTGAATAATCACAGGCTTTCTTTTCAAGCCCCTTCTTTCTACCTTACGGCTGCTCATCAGCTACGACTACAGCTGGGTTACAGCTGGTTGCAAAGTAGAAGTTAAAAGGCTATGAGTAAAGATGAGTGATTCTTCCAAGTTTCATGGCAGCTCTTTGTGAGGCTCAGAAGGTTCTATTGAGAACGAAAATGCTAATTCTTCCAGACCACTTGGGGTCCCCAGGAGGGAAGCCTCCAATAAATGATATGTCCCAGTGTGATTTCAACCCATATTATGACATTTTATCTTCAAGACTTTGTAAGATAGGTAGGGCAGAAAATCATTAGCTCTGCTTTCAGTCTGGGAAAAGGAGACATACAGAGATAATGGACAACTGAGGTAGGACAAGAATCAGGTCTTCTCTGGGTCCCTGATGTGATGGGCAGACTGCTGTAAGAAAGCAGCTCTACTCACTTGGCTGTGCCCCACAGCCACTGCCTTCTTTTCCAGATCCAAGGTCTCCAGGAGCTCCTCCACAGCCTGGGTAGAAAAGAAGAGAGAAGTTAGAGAACATAGAAGGTAGGAGAATCCTGAAGGAGAAAGTCAAGCTGGCTGAATGGCTGATGCACCAGGATGGAGGATGATCCCACAAGTCTGTCAACTTTGGCTAACAGAGCCCCACCTCACACAGGAAGGTACAGATGCTGAGTACCTACTGTGTACCATCCACTCTACCTTCACACACACACCAATTTCTTTCATCCTCCTATTTTACAGAGCAGAAAACCAAAGATACGAAATGAAATGAAAGATGTAGCTATCAGCAAAAACAGTACAGAGGTTCCTCCAATAACTAAACATAAAATTACCAGATGATCTGGCCATTCCACTTGTGTGTATGTACCAAAAAGAATTGAAATCAGGGACTTAAAGAGATATTTATATATTTATGTTCATAAAAGCATTATTTACAATACCCAAAAGGTGGAAACAACCCAAATGTCCATTGACAGATGAATGTATAAACACTATGTGGTCTATCCATACAGTGAAATATTATTCAGCCTTAAAAAGAGAGGAAATTCTGACACATGCTACAACGTGGGTGAACCTTAAGGACATTATTCCAAGCCAAATAAGTCACAAAAGGACAAGTACTGCATGATTCCATTTATATGAGGTATTTACAGTAGCCAAATTCATGGAGACATGTGGAGGTTCAGTCAGGATGGTAGGAGAGATTGTAAAATTATAGAAAACAGCCACGAACCTTCTTAGAAGGCTGGGGGTGTTGCATGGCCTCAGTAAAAGGTTTGGCTGAAGGCAGCCTAATCCTCCTTACCTTGAGTTAGTAAAGAAAAGCAAATAACAAGGGAATGTGGGGGAGTTTATCTAAATAACTTGTTTACTCATGTGGTCCTAAAACTAACCTTTAATCATTCACAGGGCCAGGCCAGATGGCTCTCTCTGGGGGAGGTTGACCAGGAAAATTACCCTCTAATGTGTTGACTCAAAGCCTTCATCACTTGCTGTGCGCAGAATAAATGCTGGCAGGGCCAATGAGTCGGGGCCACAGCTGCTAACTCTTTACAGCACTCTCCTCCACTGTCTGTGAGTGGCCACAGACCCCCTAAGCCTGCGCTTTCACTGGATTTCTGTGTCTGAGTACATTTATTCACCTATTGCTGGGCTGGGGTCTGTGGGTTGGACCCTGGCAGAGACGGAATAAAGAATTACAGTGGCTAGGGGTTGCAGATAGGAGTAATGAAGGTTTACTGTTCAATGAGTGTAATGTTTCAGTTTTGCAAGAGGAAGAGAGTTATGGAAATGGATGTTGGTGACAGTTGTACCACATTGAGAATATACTTATTGCCACTGAACTATATGCTTAAAATAGCATCATTAGAGTGAACCAGCAACCAACAAAACTGTATGCTTAAAGTAGTATCATTAGAGTGAACCAGCAACCAACAGAATGGGAAAAAATTTTTGCAATCTACCCATCTGACAAAGGGCTAATATCAAGAATCTACAAAGAACTAAAACAGATTTACAGGAGAAAAACAAACCCATTCAAAAGTGGGCAAAGGACAAGAACAGACGCTTTTCAAAAGAAGACATGTATGAAGCCAACAAACATATGAAAAAATGCTCATCATCACTGGTCATTAGAGAAATGCAAATCAAAGCCATATTGAAATACCATCTCATGCCAGTTAGAATGGCGATCATCAAAAAATCTGGAGACAGCAGATGCTGGAGAGGATGTGGAGAAATAGGAACACATTTACACTGTTGGTGGGAGTGTAAATTAGTTCAACCATTGTGGATGACAGTGTGGTGATTCCTCAAGGATCTAGAACCAGAAATACTGTTTGACCCATCAATCCCATTACTGGGTATATATCCGAAGGATTATAAATCATTCTATCATAAAGACACATGCACACATATATTCATTGCGGTACTGTTTACAATAGCAAAGACCTGGAATCAACCCAAATACCCATCGATGATAGACTGGACAAGGAAAATGTGGCACATATACACCACAGAATACTATGCAGCCATAAAAAACAATGAGTTCATGTCCTTTGTAGGACATTGGATGAATCTGGAAACCATCATTCTCAGCAAACTGACACAAGAACAGAAAATCAAGCACCGCATGTTCTCACTCATAAATCGGTGTTGAACAATGAGAACACATGGACACAGGGAGGGGAGCATCACACACTGGGGTCTGTTGGGGGGGGACTAAAGGAGGGACAGTGGGGGCTAGGGAACTTGGAGAGGGATAACATAGGAGAAATGCCAGATATAGGGCCGGGCGCGGTGGCTCAAGCCTGTAATCCCAGCACTTTGGGAGGCTGAGGCGGGTGGATCGCGAGGTCAAGAGATCGAGATCATCCTGGTCAACATGGTGAAACCCCGTCTCTACTAATAAACTACAAAAAATTAGCTGGGCATGGTGGCACGTGCCTGTAATCCCAGCTACTCAGGAGGCTGAGGCAGGAGAATTGCCTGAACCCAGGAGGCGGAGGTTGCGGTGAGCTGAGATCACGCCATTGCACTCCAACCTGGGTAACAAGAGCGAAACTCCGTCTCGAAAAAAAAAAAAAAAAAAAAGAAATGCCAGATATAGGTGATGGGGGACTGGAGGCAACAAACCACATTGCCATGTATGTATCTATGCAACAATTCTGCATGATCTGCACATGTACCCCAGACCTAAAGTACAATAAAGAAATATATTTTTTAAAAAGATTAACTTTTATTTTATATATACTTTAATACACACACACACACACAATAAAAACTAAATGAAGGGTTTTTGGGGGTTTTCTGTTTGTTTGTTTCAAGATTACAAGTTTGCACACAGGGAAGAGGCAGATTCCCATGAAGTTCTTTCTGGCCACACCTATGTCTTAAACTGTGCTGCATGCCTCGTAATTCACTAAGACCTCCTGTGACAGCCTCCCCGCTCTGTGCGTCTCATTGCAGTTGCTGCTGACTGCCTCACTCCCACAAGTATTTACTAAATAAATGATATGGTCGTTAACCTCGCCTGCCTGACCTACCTTATGTCAGAGGAGCCTGTGTTTCCTGTACCGCACTATAGTACTGTTTCATGTACACAGTAGGAGCTCAATAGATAAGATGACTGAATGAATGAACACCCAAACCAGAGAGATGCCATAGGGAGGAAAAGCAGCCCCAAGCAGGAGAAACAAGTCTACTCAAAGAGATTTCTGGATGCAGCATGGTCCAAATTGCCAGCCATTTAATGGAATCTTCCCCTTGTCAAATAGTCATGCAGGCTTTGAAACAATAGGCCAGAGGTCTGGACTCTCAGATACACCCAGGTCATGCCTGGTTGTTTTGTGCCTACCAGTTCCCCTCCCACCTCACCCACATACCACCCCTCATTGGTCTTTCATTTACTGAAAATCAGAAAGCCTATTTTAAGAATAAACTGTCAGAAAAGTAATTGCAATGCTCAGGAAGCAAAATGTATTATGAGGCTGGAGTAATTTAGTCAATGAGTTTCAATTCCATGGGTCAAAGGTATCACAGAAAACTTCCTAAGATATCAAAAAAAAATCCTTATTAAAAATCTAGTCGCAGACTGCAATCAGGAAGGAAACCCCATCTTCTGACCTCCCGGAAGAACATTCCATGACACATTTCCAAAATTTCAGTGGTTTCACTTATCGCATTTTAGCCAAACATGTTCCAAGGGAGCTGTAGGTGGTAGAAATGAATAACACCAATACATCCAAAATATAATGCCTTTTCTATTTGACTGAAGAGACAATGGATTTTTAAAATGAAATATATGACCAATGAAATTTTTCTAAGTGTACCCTTGAGGTAAAGTCTATGGCAGATGTTTTGGGGAAAAAGAAAAAATCATGATCCAGAGTTAGATCTATCTGGGTTCAGGTTTTGGTTTTATCACTCCATAAACTGTGTGGCCTTGGGGAAAGGCTTTACCCTGAGCCTCAGACTCCAGAAAGATGGGGATGCTAATGGCACCTGTTTCAGAAAATTCTGAGGTTGTGCTTGTGCAGGACTTTACATAGCACCTGGCATACAGTAAGCACTCAATAAATGTTAGGAGCTATTTCATCCTCATAGCCACCTCTGTTTTGGCCAAAACCTTGGAACAGTGCTGCAGAACATGGATGAAGGATCCCATTTCTCAGATACACTTCAAACCCTGCCAAAGCACGTGCCCAACCCACCATAACTGAGACTCCTTCTCCATCTCCTTGTTTGCTGAGACACTCTTCAGATGTCTGTGTAGCCAAGAACATCAGTCCCAGCATAGATCTTCTGTTCTGTTGATCTAATGTTACATATAACAAAGCTTGGATTCAAACCCTGGCGTGAGTGGGTAAGCGCAGGCATTAAATTATACAACTGACCCTCTTCCCCACGTGCAAAGTGGTGAGGATATTCCCTGCCTGGACCATACAGCAATTCGGAGGATTAACTGAAAGTATATGAAAAGGACTTTGTAAATTACTTTGCACTTAAATGCTGTTATTTTTATCCCCATTAACATTACAGTTAGATTGAACCATATGAAACTGTTATTTGTTGAGGTCAAATATCAATTATTTCATTTAGTTCAACATGACGCAATCATTGTCCAACCATTTGACAGAAAAAGACACAGCAAGGATCCAGGTGACTGTTGAGAAATTCCTCCTTGTCCTGTGTCTTTATGGAATCAGCTCTTCCATGCATTGGAATTGCCCAGGTAATGAAACTTACCTCTTGCAGCATAAAATACTGCTTTCTCGTGAGTCAAATGCGGCCGTTTTGTTCCAAGGAAACACAGTTTTCAGTCTGTTTTTGAGTCTGAGCCCTGCTCCAACTGCTTTACACAACTCATAAATGTTTTCAACTCTCTTCCACAGGTACTAATTCATGCCCATTTTATAGAGAAAGAAAGTGAGACCCAGTGCAATGAAATGACTTGGCAAAGCTCTCGTGTTTAGGAAGTGATGGTAGGGGGTCTGAACCCAAGG